ACTGATGATGAACGGAATGGTGAGAACTGTCCACATAGAAATAAGGTCCAAGCCGAACTCCCATAGAAAGAGAAGAGCTAAAGCAATGGGAAGCCTCTCCACCTTCACCCTAAAAGAATGGTTTTTCATGGTTATTGCTGACCTTCATACAGAGCATCCTGCACAACAGAATGATGTAATGTTCACTGAGTACGTACACATGGAGACATAGAACCACATTCTAAAATCCTGGATTGACTTCATCATGATCTAGTAAGAAGAAGAACAGAAGCAGGAAAGGAGACACAGAAGCACCTAGGGAAAGGCGAGAATTGATCTCAATTCTTCCCTCTGTCACTCAGAAACAGAAAATTAACAAGAAAGTGGCAAGATCAGTGACCTGGAAGCAGTAAATTCATGGCTTTAGCTCCATGACAATTACATCTAGAAATCATTTCAATATATATTTTAGAAAACCATCATTGCTAAAAAGTGATTGAAGAGAAAGCTCTGGTCACCGTCCACTTAATAGACCCTAGTCAAACACCAAAATAGCTCAGCTGAGTCAAACAAGTTGATTTTTCTCAGTTAAATTTCCGACACAAACCACAAGCAGCATTTGGTTTTCTTCTCTGGTCAACGATGCCAGCATCTAGTCCTTGGATTCTTTTACAGACCAGTACTCATTCTCTACAAATAGGCCAGAGGGATGACCCCAGAAGGGATGCTCTGATCCACCAAACCATAAAGATGCCTGGCCTTCTTGTTTCCAAAAGAAATCTAATCCTTACTATCCCTCGGTGTTTTATTGAAGGTCCCTAAACACACAAATCCATCTGTTTAAAGTTTATCCTCCTCCCTAGCAAGCACATGGACATATCTTTATAATAACTTTATTATATCTTTGAAAGTGGCAATGCTTTCTTGTCTAGTGGGTATGTTGTCTTTCAATCCTCTTGAGTTGTCTTTTGTCACATCAAAAGCAGTTAATTTTCCTTCTCCAAAAGCTATACGGTAGAAGTCTCCCACTTACGCATTAACCATCAATTAGCAAAGCATGGAACATATCTACATATGAATGCATGTGAACGTACAAGGGTGTACAGTATGGCAGCACAGACATGTAGACAAATATAAACAGTTACACAGCTCATTGAAAATGAATAGTTTAAATAATTAACATAAAGTTATTCTTATAATGTGTAGGTACATATAGATTTAAATATCTCTTTTTATATATACATTCAGATATTATACATACATTGTAGTTTGTAAAATTTACCTTCGCTGTAGCGTTTACAATCACAAAATTTCTAACAGTATTAATAAATATATTATGGCTCCTTTCTATGACCAAAAACACTTAAAGAATATATTTTCCTCTCTGGCAATTGCCCTGAATTATGATCTGATCATCTGCTTCATTGGAAAAGATCAGGTCTCTCCTTATAAATGCTTTAGAATTTAAGTATTTGGAAATGGAAGCAATCATGTCAGAGAAATCAACTATTAATTCTGCATGCAGCTAAACCTGGCTTCACTTTACAAAATACTCAAGAATCTATATTTCGAGTTGCTCAAAATTCCAGAAGATCCATGTAGAAGCTTTAAATTTTGCAATGTATCTCTTGCACAGGCCAGTTCTAGTCCTAGTGTGCTCAATATGTTACTAAATGAGAACAACCTTTAACAGAATAGGATGAAACACACAGTCGCAAATTAAGAATGACCTATTTACATACGTGTGCACTGATCATCTGAAAGGGTGTATAGCAATACATTAATAGCAATTATCTCTGGGCAGTGGGTTTTAGGTAATTTTTTCCGCTTCTCTGTTCCTTCCACGTATCCCTGTAAGAACCTCTCTCCTATTGTTTGTGTAATAAACCTGCAGAATGATAAAAGAACTCTATTCCTAGAATGATTTCACAAACATCACAGTACACAATGACTCCATTTATAAGACATGTATACACCAAGGAGCAGATCTATTGAAATCTATTATGAATCAGATAAAAATAAATAGCATACATTGTGGGCTTAAGTGAAAAACATCTTGGCCACCAGGACCTGTATTAAGACACAGTGGGGGTAGTGAAGGTAGAATAGGGCAATCCTTACATAGAAGCCAGCATAGGGACAGTCTGTGTGCAGGACCCATTGTCATTGGCCTAGTCTAGGTACAGACTCATCTAGATGTATGCATTCGTTATCTATGTCAAGGTAACACAAGAAGTAATGAGACATTCTGTGTGAAGCCTCCCATTCTTATGTGGGGCCTTGCTGTGGGGCACTGAATGATCTTTTGTACTTTCTTGTAATCCTGGATGATGCATATTCTTAAATCTGGAATCCAGAGCAGAAGTTAATGGACTTGCCCAAAAAGCCCCCACAGGACTCAAGAATCTAAAATGCCCAGCCCGAAGTATGCTCCAGCATGCCTCTTGTTCCTCTCTCTTGATATATACAGTATGTGAAATACAAAGGTTATAGGCTACAATCCAGGGCACTGGGAATATAATATCTACTTTTCGGCCAGACTCTTAAGAAAAGCCTCGCATCACAGCACCAAAATCTCTCTCATACTGCGGGGATGTGAGAGGTGCTAACAGTGTATAATGATGCTTTATTCTTATTCAGAGTAAAATACTCCCTAGGCGAGATGATCTTATTACAGGCTCACTGTGTGAACACATTGAATATAACCACTCATCACAGGTTAACCCCCACACACCCCACAAAGATATTTTCAACAGCACAGAGCAGCAGGACATATGTGGATAGCTTCCCACCCCCCACCCCAAAGGAAGTGCCGTACTCAGCTTTTAGTGCCTGTATATTCTTGGACTGCAGCTGGCCATCTCAGAAAAGCCTCTCCACGCCTATCCACCAGACCTGTTCCGAGAGCTTTGCTCCAATCTGGGCAACCCCCCACACTTACAGCCATAAATGCATTGGCACTGAGAAAGACTGCTGAGGATGTGGCACTCCAGGTGTGGCTTTATTTGTCACTTCACCAGGTCAGCTACTTAGGCCTAGTCTTCTTCATTGGTTTGAAGCTCTGTTCACACCATCTTGGGTAACACATCACATTATTCTTCCTTATAAAAACAAACAAACTCAAATAAGCATTCAGAGTCAGTTCACCCCTCGGAGCATCTCTGTCTTCCCCTCTGATTTCTGTGACACGGTTTCGATCCCACCCACCTGAAAGCCTCCCATACTCTCAACCGAGGACTGGCTCGACGCCCACCTTCACTCCTCGGGCTCCCACTTTCCTCACCTCCGTGGATGTGCACAGCCCCGAGGATCCCAGCCTGCTGGCCACCACTGAGTCACCAGGAGCACAGCACTGCGGTACCTAGCCCTACCCGCCATCGACTACCGGCACAGAGTCAAGTCACTGCACTCTTCATCCCTACCCCACAGAAAAACTCAGCTGTCCTGTGAGGCTGGACCAAAAGAAAAAAAAAATGTTTTCAGACTCATAATGGCTCTCCTCTAAACCAGTGCATCTGAGATTTATACAGTTCTGGAGCACAAGGAGCTGGATACATTAGTTCCTAGCCAACTCTTCATAGCAGCCGGTTTCTAAAGGCATTTCTGAAATGACTCCAATCCACTTCAGTGCAACACATTGCCCAAGTTTAAATCAATGGCCGAAAATAAAACTTACGACTCAATAAGGCATCACACGTTTCATAACTGAGTGTGAAGAGAAGGGGTACAAGAAATAATCAGGCCTCCTGAAGAACCCAGCTGGGCAAGCTGGTTAACTTAACTCCTGTCATTGCCTTTTCCATTCTCCCACCCCACCTGCAAGTGTGGACCTTCTCGATTCAGCCGCCAATGTTTCAGACTACAGTGCCTTGCAATAAACTCACAGTCTGATCATTTATGAGCACACTGGGCAACACGCAGAGAGACTTTGCGGAAACAGAGTTAGAGTTAGAGCTAACGCACAGACAGAAAGGAAAAATGGAATGCCTTATCAGAACTGAAGATTTCTGTCTTTCATGGATAGCACATCGTTTGATACATACATCTGCACTGACGTATACCATAGGGGTTTTTTCGTTATAATCTGTTTATTTGGTGGTTTAGCCAGAGAACCTTATATAACACAATCCTGTTTCGAATGTAGCAACATGTATGGCATTGCACTCATATAAAATTCAGACTCCCCACAGCACCTCCCATTAGCCACCCCCAGCCGTTCTACCTTGCAAGACCTCTGTGTATTGATGAAAAAACCAGGAACTACCACGAGCAATAGTAAAAAGGAAGATTCAGTAATCAGCTTTACCCTATATTCAAAAGCTAGAATTCTGTGGTATGATTTTAGGGATTTCAGAAAATCATTTTATCCTGATTTTAATATATTGCATGAGCCTGACCCACAGTGGGAAAAGAGTCCAGTTTTCTAAACCAAAACACACGTGAGTCTACTTCACTCTTCCAAGAAAGAGTATAGGAACACTACCCACTGCCTCTGCACTGGGATGTTGTGTGACCACAACCCTTGCATCTAATTTCCTTAACAAAGAAGCAGTAGATCTGCACTGCTTGTTTGGCCAAAAAGCACATAATACAGCTACAGCTTAGGAACTTCCATTCATTCTAGCTCAACAAACAATGTGTATTATATAATGAACGAGGCTTTTCTATGAACCCTGCTATTGGAAAACACAGCACTTTCTGCATAGTTTAAACAGTCTACAAGGAGAAGTTACCGCTTGTGAGATCAAATGTGGACCCGGTAACGTATAAATTCAAACAGCCTACACTCTTAGATGCCTTTGCTATCACCCTAATTTCTTTTTTTGCTTGACAATAATTTCAGTTAACTATAAACTATACAGAGAACATTTACACAGCAGCCAGCAAGCACCAGAATGATGTTGGCTTTCAGCTCCATGTTCTCTGCGTTGCCTAAGAAATAACTGGGGTGGGGGGGAGGGGGGATAGTGGGAGGAGGAAGAGGAGGGGAGAGGGAATCAGCTATCTGTGAAAATACTTACAGCCTCCGAGTCTTCAACTCCATGCAGGTACAAATTGTCATACATGGAGGTCTGATAATCCAGTGCACCTCTTTCAAGGCAAAAATAAAATTGCTGCAGAAACCACAGCTAGAGCTTAAAGAGAAAAGGCCTGTTTAGGAGAACTGCGCCTGCCTTATCAATTCCTGTGGATTTACCGGGCAAGATGCTATTCATTCACATCACACAGGGTGAGGTTATCCCCGGAGGCAGTCCAGACCTGGCATTTTATCTGCCTTCCCAATACAGAGCATAAAAAGCAAAACCCTTCCTCAACCACAGACTGGTGACTGAGCTAGGAAAGCAGCCTCTGATTGGCTCAGCGTCCCTGCTTCAGTCAGCTGAAGAGCGTTCCCCCGGAGAGTGGAGGGCGCCTCGGAGCATCCTACCCATCACAGAGCTGCTTCCTGTTTCGCCTGTATTGTTAGTTCTACAATAAACACTTATCAATATCCAAAAGGCTGCGTGGAATGTTTGGAAAGGCAGAGTATTGAATACGCTAAACACAACTGCTCCTCTTCTTCATGAAATTCACCACTGGAGGGGGGAGCAAAGGAGAGATTTTATTTCCAGAGAATATCATGTAAAGACAAGCGAACAGATACTAATCTCCATCCAACATCTGTACTTAACAGACGCAATTTAAGTCAAAAAGGCAATAAGTCACATAAAATTCAAAAAAAAAAAAAAACACTCCAAGGTGAAGGAAAAATGGATAGAATAAACAGATGGTAAGATTTCTTGAGGGAATTTCTATAGTAAAAGTTTTCGATATTCTCACTCAAGTCTCTTAGCCTTGCTGGCAAGAAAACACTATGTCCCAACTGGTGAAGTCTGAAAAGAAAGCCAAAAACCTCTCAACTCTTAGATGCAAAATTTTTAATGTCTCTTTAGATGAATTTTTTTTAACATCCTTTAAGCGACAGCCAATGTTCTCGCTTGAATCCTTCATCCCCTTCCCTGTGCATAAATCTTTAATATTCCTGAAACAGCATTGATCTTTTCCCCAAAACCCAAGCAGAAAAGTCCCCTGCTCCCCCCACACCACTGCTGAGGCCGACCCAGGGCCAGTCTCCCATTGGGATGGCCTGACGTGGAGTATGCCTAGATTCTTAGAGCTTTCTGGTCAGCCAATAAGGTATTGCAGCTTCGAAACAGGAGAGCTCTAGAGCTCACTGAAAAAGAAACCAGCTAAATTTGGCGGGGGGAAAGACACTGGTGAGGGCAAAAAACATAACCAGAGGAGGTGCATGGCTCATGGGGGTGAGCAGTGACCCAGAAACTCAGGCTCTGAGTCCAGTAGCAGCTTCACCACTAATTGGTCAGATGACTCTGGACCAGTCAGTTACCCTCTCCTCGGGCTTCAGTTTCTCCACCTGCTACACTGAGGTTAAGAAAGAACTCAGAGAAAGAACTCTGCAAATCTAAAGTGCAACATAAACACTTATCACTGACAACCCTGCTTTGTCAGCTGGAAGACATTGGCTGCAGTTCATGGGCGCTCAGCACAGTAGTAACTGGCTGGCCCTGGACCTATGAAATGAGGGCTGTCCTTCTAGCCAGTATCTCTGAAAAGCGCAACTCTTAAAGGAACAAACCCGAGTCACAAAAAGCAACAGAAGAGCTACAACTGCTGAGCAGAGCACAGTTCTTCTAGGTCGATGCTGACCTGTTCATGTCTTTCAATCACAGCTGCATGCCTTGGGAGTGGCATCAATAATTAGTCACTTGCAAATGCAAAAGATGGCAAGTGGCTCATGCCTATAATCCCAGCATTTGGGAGACTAAGGCAGGAGGAGCACTTGAGACCAGCCTGGGAAACACAGCGAGACTCTATCTCTCCAAAACATAAAAAAATTGGCGGGGTCTGATGGCATGTGCCTGGAGTCCTAGCTACTCGGGAGGCTGAGGTGGGAGGTTTGCTTGTGCCCAGGAGTTAGAGGTTACAGTGAGCTATGATGATGCCACTGCACTCCCTCCTGGGCAAGAGAGCAAGACTCTGTCTCTTAATAAAAAAAAATAAAAAGATGACAAGGGACTTCAGAATCCCACAATGGTAGAGTTGATACAGGATGTCATCTTTGAGGCTGTGCCTACATAGCAGGAGGATGGCAGCAAAGGATGGGTGCAATCAACAGGATTCCAGAGAGAAACCCAGCACTGGCTCCACCTGTTGACAACTGTGTGTGGGAGCAAGTCACTGTCCAGGTGGAACCTCAGTCCCCACCCCACCCCATACAGCAAGAGGACTGGATCAAAGGATTGTTATGCCCATATTCAGGTATCATATTCTGTTATTTTAATTAACTCTAACTACAGCTACACAATATTATATCCAGAATCTACAAAAAAATAAGACAAGAGGGTTTTTTTTCTCCTTAAATTCTCCAGATCATTTCCTTACTTTATCACTTCAATTGAGAGTATTTTTCAATTATCTTACAAGGGGAATCTAAATTAAGGGGGGAAAGAAAGAGGCAGTCCAAACTCACAATTAACCAAGATGAAAGAGACTGTTCCCTACTAGGAAACCTGTACCTAGCCCCACTCCTCTCCTGTGCTTGGCTGCCTTGGAGCACCACCTACGCCAATCCAATGCGAGGGTCTAAAGGAAGTTCTAAAGGGCAAGGGCTCATTTTGAGACACACTAATGCACACAGTGAGCAAGTCTGACTCCGGGCGGGATGTCAGGAGGGAGTCAGTGAATCAAGCACAGCAACTGCGGTTACTCCTTGCAAACCCACACGCAGTCCCTCGAGGACTAAGAACAGATGTGAAGCAGGGCCTGTCTGGCTCGGCCTCCTTCCCAGGGAGTTAGAAAAATGCTGAACTCAGAATCGCAAACTGTTAGACGTGGGAGAACCCCAGAAGTCACCTACTCTAGCCCTTTTAGTACCCACAAAAGTGAAATTGCTTTATCCAAAGCCACGTGTTCTACACTTGAATGTTCCTTCCTGCCTCCCTTCTTGATACAAGAGTGTTCAAGATAAGAGATGAGGGTCAGCGGGCATGCTCCCAAAAGGGATTTGGTGAAATAAAGAGAGGTCACTTTGGTGGGAAAAATCCTCTTCTTTCCGACTCCTTCCATGCTACAAATTGTCTAATCAAATGTCATTTGGTCACACACAGCTGATAACTAAAACTCAAATAATAGACTGGGGAGTCTGGCCCAAGGGTCTGGATCTACCCAGAATAAGCACACACCTGGGAGTCACCCAAAGGTTTCAACCCAATATTTGGACTGATCCCAAGGTTCCAGAGGAATCCCAGTGAGAGACTCAGTTCTGGACCTCCCCAAAAGAATTATGAGGAGTTCTAGAATAGTGAACTCAGAACTCCACAAGGATCTTGAAACTGACCATTTGTGTCCCAAGATTGTCTTAACTGAGACCGGACTGAGAAGTGGTGAGAGGGCCCTGGGAGCTTCCTGGGCCTGTTTCGGATCACCTCAAACCCCCAGCTTTTGGTGAAAGGGTCCAGGGATTCCAGCAGGTTCAAGGTCAAAAGGCCAAATTTCAAGAGTATCTCACTTCACTGCAGCAAGACCTAAAAAGCAACCAAGGGACTGACACCCTCTGGGTTTTGATTTTAAGAGTTTTCCAGTCAAGTGATGGGTTGAGAGGATGAAAAAGAAACCACTCCCCATCCCCCCACCCCTGCCCTGGTCTCCTTCTCCTAGCTGAGACTACAATGAGCACAAGTCTGAAAACCTGTGGCTCCTCTTATGTTGCTGGTTTCCCGTAACCCACCTCCTTCTCACCACTGCGGAGCCTCCAAACCTACACAGCGTCCAGGAGGCTGCCTCCAATTCTGAGGCTGCCCTGTGAAGGTGTTTCTGGCCCACCTCCTTTCAGGTCATCTCTCATTATGATCAACAGCTCAAAGTCAAAAGACCCTATGAAAAGGCATTACCGTGTTTGTAAATCCCACATAATTCTTGGTGGGGAGGCTGCTCTTGCAATTTGACAAATGGCTCAGCTGAGCTCAGTTCAATGGAGTAAACAGCATGGCCCTCAACAAGTTAGGAAAGCTCTGTTCTGTAACGCAGGGGACATTACTTTGAGTTCATTCTTGTTGGCTTCAAACTTAGGAATGTGGAGGTCCTTTTCCTTACCCAGTGCTGGGCTTTGTGTACAGCAAACCCATGGAATTGACAGTAGAGTACAAAGGACAAGCATTTCTGTTTTCCACTTGTTTGGGAAGGGAGAGGAGGGAGAGCAAGGCCAAGGGTGGTATGATTGGCTTTGAGTTTTACAGAGCCATGCTCAAGCCAACCAGCACAGATTGAGAAGCAAAAGGAAATTCTGTTATCTAATTTTCCACCTAAATTTCTCTGGAATGTAACTTTTCCAAGCCAATGTAGTTATGTGTTCTACGCAGGACTCTGAGAGGTCAGAGAAGAGGCAAAGTCGTACTGTTTGGACCCAGCAAAGACTAGTCCTCTTGCTGCCTCTATGGGCTAGAACATGAGCCCAATGTCTTTGTTTGCCAATTTAGACTTGGGAATTATTTTGCTCTTTGTTTTTATTTAAATTTTACTAAGTGACCACAGTGTGCTAGATGATTTTCTCCTCTTCTGCTCTGACAGTACTAATCTACTCCTTTGCCTCTAGAAATCTGTGTGGCATTACAAGCATTACTATCACACCCCTGTTTCCTCCCTGATGCCCCTCAGACAGGTGGTAGCAACAAGGCAGACAAGGGATTCAAAACAAAACAAAACAGGCCGGGCGCGGTGGCTCATGCCTGTAATCCTAGCACTCTGGGAGGCCGAGGCGGGTAGGTCGCTGGAGGTCAGGAGTTCGAGACCAGTTCGAGACCAGCTCTGAGCAAGAGAGAGACTCCCCCCCCCAGCCCCGTCTCTACAAAAAAAATAGAAAGAAATGATCTGGACAACTAAAAATATATATATATAAAAAATTAGCCGGGCATGGTGGCACATGCCTGTAGTCGCAGCTACTTGGGAGGCTGAGGCAGAAGGATCGCTTGAGCCCAGGAGTTTGAGGTTGCTGTGAGCTAGGCTGACGCCATGGCACTGTAGCCCGGGCAACGGAGCAAGGTTTTTTTCTCAAAAAAAAAACAAAACAAAACACTGCAGACATTGGATCCTGCTTCTAGGAGTCCCCTGTCACAGTCCTCCGAGTCTGAATTCAGACCTCACTCCGGAGGCAGGCATGTCCTTGAGTCTCTCCAGGCCTCATCTGTACCACGGAGATAATAATAGTTCCTAAACTGATGAGTAACATATGAAAGGCACAAAAGAGGCAGAATGTTAGAATTGGCCT